GATCTTGTCATTTGCGTGGCCGAGGAGGGGAGATACTCCCTTGTCGCATGGGGTTTGGTTGCCACCACTACCATATTGGTGAAGTCTAAGGGCTTAAATTTTTACCTAACTTACTTAAGGTCTTAAAATTAATACTTAGGCAAGTTAGAGCACTTAGTAATTTTATATATGTCTTTTTAATGTGTGCTTTTGGTGTATTTATTGTATATTTTTATGATTAATTTATATAAAAAATTATAAAAATAAATTTTATTTTTAATATCAAAATCACATTAAATAATTTAATTAGATAATTAAAAAAATTTTAAATTAATTTTTGTTTTTTATATAAATTAATACTCCCTCTATTCCATTCCATATTATTTGTAGTTATAAAGAGAAAATTTTATTTCTAAATAATTGATGTTTTAGCATATCAATGTTACATTAATTACATTTTTTTCAATTTTGCCCTCCTCTCTTAAGGTGTCCTTACAACTCAGCTTATTCATCTTCCTCATTTTTTCTCATTTCCTTTTTTTATTTTTTTGTTGTTTGAAATTCATTTTTTCTTCAATACACAATTATCTCTTCAATGACACAAAGTTATTTTACCTTTTTCGCCTTCTCTCTTTTGTTTTATTGTTGAAATTCATTTTTCCTCTTTCATCTACAAGCCAACCTTACTTTTCCTATGTGTCTCAGTGAGAATGCCAATGGTGTCACCTAGAAGAGAGCTTGTTGCCTTTGGATTTGATCCCGAAAACAATCTTGTCCTCAGCCATGGTGGATCTGCGATCGGGCATGGATCTCCTTTATGTTTGATTGAACAGTGACAATACACTTATGAAGGGGCTTTTTAAAGGAATCGAAGAGGAAATAAATGGGGAAAATGTAAGGAAAGGGATTTTATTTTTTTTGACAAGAACAATAGTTAGAGGTTAATAAAATTAGAATTGTTAATAAGAAATATTGAACTTGAATAAGAGTGCAATCCATCAATTGTCCTTTTAAACAGTAATAATCACACTTACAGCAAAAAAATACTCAAAAAAATAAAAATTAAAACTCACATCCAAAATAAAATATCTTTTAACTAATAGTTAAGTAGTTACTCGTGCCACACGGCTTCTTGGGAAGGGATGAGAATAAAAAGTTGGTGGCATTTGAGAGGAGTGAAGTCGTTGCTGTCTCGGATTGGAGAGGATGATTTGGGAGAATCTGGTGAGATAGACAAGAAGATGAGAAGTGATAATCTCAGAAAATTTAGAAAGATAAACTGATACCTTCGAGGTATAAATTTTTAAAATTAAGAGTAATAAATTATTTTTCTTAATTAGTATGCACAGATCTAAAAAGGAGTGGAGCAGACCTAAGACATCTAATAATACGAAACAGAGAGAATAATAAAAAATATAATAATTACGTCTTTAATATTCACCGAACGTCAGAAAATTTAATACATACATACCTCTTTTTTATTTTTTAACTGTAAAATAAAGTTCGCCGACCCAAACACTCTTAAATGCCTCGAAAATCGAGGTAGACATTGTCAATGAACCAATATCCTTTCATTTTCTTACCCGGGCCCAACATTAAATTCTAAAACCTACCCTCTTGACTGATTTGCCGTGCAGGGGTGCTGTGCCCAGTTGTTGTGGGCTCAATTGTCCTTCGTTGGTTGTTTTTATTTTTTTTCTTCAAAATTTCCAAACGAAAACTACACTATCGCCAATCAAGCCCTTGAATGCAAAATATTTTTTTTCCACGAAATGCTACGACAAGTCGTTGCTCTGAATGCTAAGTAGCAAAAGTACAAAGAAAGATTGGTCAAATTACATTGAGTTTTTCTACCGTGTGTTTAGGGCACAGGAATGAGTAAATCTTGAAGTTTATATTTTAAAAAATTAATTTTTTTAAATATATTAAATTAATGTGAAAGTGCATAGTAAGATCGGATTGGAAAAATATTTGTTTCAAACTGTGAGAAAATATCATGAAAACACGCTGACCCGGTCAAACCAAAAAGAACGGCCAAATTAATGTAAAAGCCTCTGCGCTCTTGGAAGTCTTAAGTTTGTTTTATGCCTTTCTACCAATTAGCGGCGATAAATGAGCCCTTGACTTGAACTCTATATTAGAAAAAAACAATAAGCTACGGGTTAGAAATGGTCCATTTTTAACCGTTGGACGGCAGATGAAGACCTTGAGGTCCCGTGATTGCCATCTACCTTTAAGGTCAACGCAAGGACCAATGGTTTTTTGGGTTTTTTTTGGTCCGTGACAAATGGTTTATTGTTGGTTTAGTCTCTAAATCTAATCAAATTTAAATAAATATTTTTTATTTTAATTACACAATGAGAATTAATTATTTTTTATTTTTTATTTCACTTCATCTACATGTTATATTATTTGAACTCAAAATCTTTTATTTTCAACGGAAGAAAATAACTATTAATTACTTAGATCGTTAATAACATTTTTTTAATATGTGTTTAGATTAAGATATATATTATACTTTTTAGATATTAATTTATGTAAACAAATAAAAATAAATGACAATAATTTTATTAATTATTT